TATATCTATATATAGATATATATAGATATATATATATATTGTTCTTGGGTTTAAATATTCTTTAAATGCTTTATGTGTCAGAAGTGCCTATCAAGAGATTACAATCAGTACCACTGACTATCTAAACTGCAATTAAGACACAAAATAACCCTGATAAGAAGGGTTAATAATGTAGCTAAAAAGGGGCTCTGCTGCTCCCTAAAGATAGTGTTGGATGGGGGATTTGTCACATAGCATTTCAATCCAACAGCCAATAGCCATCAAACATGATTTTAGACTTAATGTCACAAGGGCTAGCACACTCAACAAACATAAATGTCACAGAAGCAATATTAATTCCTGTAAATGCTGTTAGCCATATTGGTAGAATGTATTAGAGCTGGTATGACAGTAATCCTATAACTTCATTGATCACTATTGGCCAGTAAAATGAAGTGTTAACATGCTTGGCTGTTTTGAAAACACTGACAGGCAAATCTTCCTAACGCTACCCTAAGGCAAGAATATTTTCTTGCCATGTCACTAACGCAAGTATTTACATAGCCCTGCTGTATTGAACATACATATTGGTATGCTCATCATTACTAAATCTTTGCACAATGTAAAAATCAATAATATAGACTGCACAACAAAATACAATGCTTGAAAATTACTTCCTATCTTACCTTATTATAGTAGTTTAGACAATGGGTCTTTTATATGTAAAGGCTAGTTTTTCTTCTAAATAGGTAAACATCATACTAATCTGCTGATTTGGTTAGAAAGAGCGGAGGTTGGGTTAGTTAAGGGTAATAACAAGTTAGGATCTTTCCTTTGTTCTTCCTAACAAACAATGCATAATTAGATGTCCCTGGTCTCAGTACAAATACTTGACCTGCTCCTCTCCAACCAAAAACATAGCAAGTCAGGGAATGCTGCAAATGCTCCTTGTGGTCGAGTTCATGCAGTACTGAGCTGGGGTGAACATCTTGCTCTGAAGTCCAGAATAGCAAAGATGGGGGGAGGATCAGGTGGGAAATTGAGGTCTAAAAGTATTGTGGGTACAGGTGAATAGGATAGAAGAGTATGCAGGTTATCATTGCTGATCCCGATAAAGTTGCCTACAATACAAGTGAAATAATAGTCCTTGGTGCTACTCTATATCCCGGCAATGCAAAAACTCTCTGGATAAACAGCACATGAGCAGGCCCCGATTCATAATTGGAAGTCCTCCTAAGACCCAAAGCTCACATACAATATGAATGTTAGAACAATCAGTGAAAAAGTGCAGTGAGCAAATGACCAAAGACACCGAAGCTCAAGTGTGACTGTAGCCTTAAAAAGTGCAGGTTCAAGGATGCTCAAGCTCTTGCAATCACTTGTCTTTTATCGGAGTAATGCATTTCTTCTATCTACTAAAAGCAACATTTTTTGGCAAGAATATACATTTTTACTATTATAAAAGAAGAAGGAAAAGCTTTTTAAATATGGTCACATTAAAATAGCTGTATAACTTACTTTCTAATTTCTATACAAAAATATAGTTCCATGTTCCTTACATCATGTACCCTATTTTTCTCAGTGAATTTTCACAGATGTATAGCCCACTCATAATCGCCTATGTGATATAATTATTTGCAGCCGCTAAGGGCTTGATATAAAGAACAGAGGAGTCTTGCAGTCTATCATTAGGTATTAATTATTCTAATTCTGTCATGCTCTCACATCTAAATTAATTTTTTTTCAATTAATTATCCCAGTTCCTTTGCACAGTTCTTACAGAGTCACAAAACCCTCTGTCAAATGGCACGTAACCCTTCTATCCATACTTCACTCTCCA